AAAGCCGGAAGTGGCGCTGTGGCTCAAGTGGTAGAGTGCTAGCCTTGAGCTGAAGAGCTGAGGGACAGCGCCCAGGCCGAGTTCAGGCCCCATGACTGGACCCCCCCCCTTAAAAAAAAGGTAGGGAACACTTGAATGCTTGCACAAGGCCCTAACCCCATTACCACAAAACTTAAGTGCAGCCAGACAATCTGTAATGTGAGCTAGTGAGGAGATTGCTATAGCCAAAGGATCTCAAATCTGAACTCAGTCCAGGAAAATGTTAATGAGAACCCATCTCAAAATGAAATACAAACTTGAAGGGTTGGCAGTGTGGCTCAAGTGATAGTAGACTTGCTTATTAGCATCTGTGATACACCGAGTTCAGTCCCCAGGGTTTGGTAATTTTTATAAATTCAAGAGTTAAGACACAAAGAAACAGGCATTTGAAAGGAGGTGGGGTAGGGTCAAGGAGAGAGGAGAAGACAAAAGAAGAGGAGAAGAGAGGGAGAATGCAGTCAAGAATCCAATCTATATCCTTCAAAATTAAGAAAATCCAGGCACTGGTAGCTAATACCTGTAATCCTAGCTATTCAGGAGGCTGATATCTGAGGATCACGGTTCAAAGCCAGCCCAGGACAGGAATGTCCATGAAACTCTTTATCTCCAATTAACCACCCACAAAACCAGAAGTAGACCTGTGGCTCAAGGTGGTAGAGTCCTAATCTTGAGCACAAAAGCTGAGGGACAGTGCCTAGGCCCTGAGTTCAAGCTCCATGACCAACAGGGGAAAAAAGAGGGGGAAAGAGGTGGGTTGGGAGGGATGAGTGACACAGATCAACATGCATTGTATTCATAAACTGCCATGTGAGATGACAGTGCCTGTAGACCACTACTTAGAGGTAATTAAATAAAATTTGGAAAGAGGATAAGACATAAAGTGTAGGGGCTTAATTCTGTACTTTAGCTTCTGTATCTGTTCCCCAGGCCTGGCACGTGGATAAATGGTCACTGGAAGTGGGAAGCAGGACATGGGGACAGGGGGATTTGTACATGGCATCGAGAGACTTGGCACACAGATGCCAATGAGCATAGTGAAATGCAGGAGCTAATGATTCAGTGCTTGATTCTCTACTGGGTCCAGGGGACAATTCTTCTCAACCCAGGGAACATTAAACCCAGAATGGGGTCAATGCCATGTTCTGCTGGCTTCCCATTCTCACTCGCAAGAACATGTCTCTAAAAAGCAGACAGCAAATTCATTCTAAGCATCTTATGGCTCTGGAGCTTGTTTCTGCCCTCAGGTAAATACACCAAAATAGTGAGGAACGGTTTCCTAGATTGCCTTTTGTGAATGGGGAATGGAGATGACCTTTCAGAAGTCTTCTGTTCAGCAATGGCTATGTTTTATAACGAGTCACTGAGTTGTTTGTTTTTTTTTAATAGATTGATATCTCCCACACAAATCCTGGATTTATGTTTTTTAAGACAAACTCAGTGTGTGGTATGAATGGTAGGTCCTATGAAGAAACACACATGGCTCATTTCCACGTGTTCTGTTCTCTTGTTCTTTCCTGGGATGTCCTGTCCATTTCCCTACGCATGCTCCAAATAGACTTCAAGTCACAAGTTCCACCCCTTCAGCTATGAAACTGCCTTTGACTGCAGATGCCCTCACAATCTCCTTGGAATAAACTTCTGTGGCAGTATTAGGTAGGATAGGATATGTATGAAACTGATATTGTTGTATAGTACTTGTTAATTTTTTGTTCCAATCCAGAGGCTTGAACTCAGGGCGTGGGCACTGTCCTTGAGCTTTTTTGATTAAGGTTAGTGCTCTACTAGCTGAGCCACAGCTCCATTTAGGATTTTTAATGGTTAACTGGAGATGAAATTCTCACTGACTTTCCTGCCAAGGCTAGTTTTGAACCATAATCCTTAGATCTCATCTTTCCGAGTAGCTAAGATTTCAGGTGTGAGCCACAACATGGAGCCAATTAAATCTTCACTATTAATAGACAAGGTTCATCTCTGACCTTTAAATGAAAGGAAAATGCCATCTAAGGATAACCAAAAGGTACTGAATTTCCTTCACAGAATTGTCAGGAAGGGCTAAACAAAATGAAAACCAAAACAATAAAAAGATTTGCATTTACTGACCTGCTTTTCTATGAAAATAATTACAGGCTGTCATACCTTTAATTCCAACTTATGTTTTCAAACCAGGGAACAGAAGCTATACGAACTATAGAAAGCTGAGCCATTTTCAAAAAGTAAAGGTGCTGCCCAAGTGATTCTCATCATCTTCCTAAGCAACACAAGGATTCCAAGCTACAAGGGAGAGTCAAGGGGCTTTGTTACCTCTGCACTGCAGATCCCTAGCAAGGTAGTAGAGATAAGAAAGTAAAACTCTTATCTTGGGAAGAGCCAGGAAGGCATGTAATAATGTGTTGAGCCTGGAGATTTTAACTCCATCACTGAATTTTCTATGCTAATGATATTTCATTTCCTGAGATCCCCAGGAGTTGATATATGTGGATGCACACCACCAACCCCAAATGCTACTTGAGGAAGCTAGCAGGCTATACATAAAGTTAAAAATGCTGAAGTTGAGTACTGAATCTACAAGGTCAACAGAGAGCTAATTGACTTATTAGTTAAAAAACTATTTACATAATACATTTTCTCCTACTGGAAAGTGTCATATTTACCTATGCCTAGTAATAGAAATGTTTTACATATTGAGTATTCTTAGAAATTAACTATGACTTTGACTTTCTGTATAAAAATGCTAATATTTAAAGGAACTCTTTACCTAAAATGTACACACACAGGGAAGAAGCCTAATGAAATAAACACAGTCCAGCCTTAGCTGCCATGCAAACGTGGAGATCCACCCTGTTCAAGTGGCTGGGAGATGCCACCTGAACCTTATGTGTCTCTATGTCTGCGTTGCTCACCTGTTTCATTGCACTTAGGTGTTCCATGTACAGAATCCCTTGCAGAACTTTCTTCCTTTCTCTAGACTCACTCTCTAGAAGAGTTCTTAGGTCCAAAACAAAAAGGAAATAACAGAAACAAACACAAGACTAGATATTTTATGTGGGTACACATCCTTCATCAATTTGCCAATGGAAAACTAAGAGCTCAAGAATGATGGCTGAATTTGGAGAAAATCAAGAACAGCTCACCTGTGGCTTCATTTCTGCCAGTTTATTCTGATACCTTTGGATGGACTCTCTCAGCTGCTTCTCTCTCTCACTTTTTGATGATGTTGCTGTGTTCATGGTACCCAGGGGGATTGAAGGAAGCCATTCTACCTGATCACAGCTTCACAACCAACAAATAAAAGATGAACCACAGGAGGAAACAAGAAACTGTTAGCTTTCTGTAGAAGACTTTCTTCTAAGGAATATCACTTTCGTCCATAGACACAAAATTCAAATACAAAGGAAGATCATCATCTCGATAATTTGAAGTAATACAAGACTTTTAATGTAAAAGACCTTTTAATGTAAAATGTGGTGGGTAGTGTGTTTCTGAGAATACTAATTGTTTTGCTAATGGCTCATTTATCCTACATTTTCCTGAAATGAGGTCTTTTGCAGTAGTAGTTTTTTGGATCATTGAGGCTCAGTCTCATTACTGCCAAACATTTCCCCGATTCCTCCCCCTACAAAAAAATAAAATCAAATTGGAGTGCAAAGTCTATACAGCTCTAAAATATATTAAAATAGTTCTACCTCTGAAACTCATAGATACTCTTTTTTGTGACTTGGGATTACTGGAAGACCAGTCATGTGCAATGTATGTTGTTCCTCAGGGGTAGACTGAAGAAGGGGAGTTTACTGAGACTTCCGAAGCCTCCACACCTAAAAGCTGTGGATGAGCTTTACTATAGCACCCTTCCCATCATTCCCTGCTGCTGTCAGACCGTCTGCATTTGGCAGTCATACTGCCTCCCAGTCGTTTGTATTATATAATCATGCAGAATTGTGTGTTGATGAGCAATAAACAGGCTATGCATGTGAATAAGCACTTAACTCATTTGTTTTAAGAATACATGATTTGAAAACACACACACACACACACACACACACACACACGATTTAGCAGATTTGAAGCCATCTTTTTAATTTGTAAAAGTAGAGTATTATGGTTTGGGGTTTTTGTTTTTTATCTTGGCACCTCTGAGAACTTCAACTCCCCTGTGAACACTGTGGAGAGACCAGGAATGGCTGAAGACATGGCTGTGGTGTAAAAGTTCAGGTCAGTTCTCTGAGCCTGTTCTACATCAAAGACTTTTCTCATCCTGATAGATGGGAGAAGGTGGGAGTGTCGTTTGGGAGACAGTTACCAGAAAGAGAAGGAAAGGATGAAGTTTACAGAAAAATGTGTGTGTATTTGGTGAAGAGGGAAGAAGGAAGAGGCTGAAAGTAGAGAGGCCCTCCCCCGTGTGAAGCAGAGAAGGAAACATCTATGAAAGCTTCCATTTCTGTTTTTTTTTTTTTTTTTGGTCCGGTCGTGGGGCCTGAACTCTGGGCCTGGGCGCTGTCCCTCAGCTCTTCAGCTCAAGGCTAGTGCTCTACCACTTGAGCCACAGCGCCACTTCCGGCTTTTTTCTTTTTGCTTATGTGGTGCTGAGGAATCGACCCCAGGGCCTCAGGCATGCAAGGCAAGCGCTCTCTACCACTGAGCCACCTTCCCAGCCCCTCCATTTCTGTTTTTCAGGGCTGCAACACATATTTTTCTTGCTCCCTACCAACAGAGCAGAGTGAGGAACTACAATCAAATTCAAGTACTACTATGAAAAAAAAAACACTTAATTCCACCCACATATGGTGTTAGCTATTATTGTTATTTTCAAGGAAAGGTGCTATATAAACAAATGCAAGGAATAGCTACTATATATACCACCACCCACAGTGTGGTTTGGAAGACATCTGTGGTGGTACCTAGGCAGGCCTCTATTTCACTTGAGAAAAGAACCTTGTGGTTCTTAAGTTTCTATTCAGGAAACAGAAACCTCAAGTATTTTTATGAAAATGCAGTCTACTGTATTGTCTTCCCTGAAAGCATTTTGGAAGTAAATTTGCATATGCAATCCAACCCATAGATTTTACTCAACAGCCTTTTCAAAATGCAGACTTTTTGGTTGTTGTTGTTCAGCCAGGTAATAGATGATGCCATCTTTCCCCTGCCGGTAATCCCTACTTTCAATGCAGATAAATGCATAGTGTGAATGAAATGGGAGTGTAGGGATATCTATTTCTCAGAAACTGTGACAATAATGTATAGTCTCCCTCTGGACTCATAGTGGGAAGGAAAACAAAGCTTCAGTCACATGACAAACACTGGCTGTATTTTATGTCACCCAGGCTACTCCAGTCTGAACCCTACCATTTGTAACATAGTGTGCCTTGGAAAGGAGAAAGGATTTAAGTGGAATCAGGTGTCCTGGAATGTAAAAGGCTGCCTTCTGAGAGAGGATGTAAGGCAGCAAGAGAATAGGTTTTTGCATCAAATTCTTGGCTTCCAGTTTCATCTTGAAGGAGGAATTCTGGGCAAGTTACTGAACCTTTCTAGGCCTCTGTTTTCTCCTCTGAGAAATAGGGGAAGTTCATAGGACATTTGTCCAGGTGAAATGACTGATACATGATTGCTATGACAGGAACAGTTAATATGTGTCTGGCTCAGGCACAAACATTGTTCATTCAGCTGCTGTTCATTGGCATGCTCCTGACAATTGGCAATTAACCGCTGACAACGGGCTATATTTTCTGTAAATACAATACTTTTTTTCTTACCTCCCTGTACTCAAGGGACCCCCACCTAATGAACAATTCTACTTCACTTCATATCATTTTAATGCACTGCTTTATATGATTCTATCAAAATCTAATGGGATGTATGTCTCTGGGAATAGTCTTTTAGGTTTCGGTGTGTCCTGGCCTGAGATACTGAATCAGAGGACTGAGAAAAGTCAGTGGTTGAATTACTCTTCATCCTGGCAGATGTCAAACCTACACCCCTGGTACTGAGCTCCGCATTGAGGGAAGAACCAACTTCCATGTAACTGCCCTTGTAATTAGGTTTACTTTCAGCTATCTCTAAACTCCTTGTTGTCACTTTAGGTGTATTTTGTCATCTTTTCAATGGAAGTGAGCTAAAGATAGTCAATATGATGTCAGTGTACTTAAAACATCAAGGACTTGAGACAATTATAAATATAAGTACTTTTTGCCTCATAGACTTTCAAGGTTGATCAGTTTTCTGTCAACATGACTAAATTTATCTTGCCTCTCCTCACAAGTGTCATTATTTGCATGTGTAAAAGAGATGGAATTAATGTGGGCTTGAGACTTATTACTATGATCTGTGATGGCATCCCCACTTTTGAAGAGAAGTGGATGAGAGTGTGTCAATTTGGGGACAATGGTGAACTGAAAATAGAGGAAGCTGGCAGGGACAGCTTCCAGCTCTGTGGTTCTGACAAGGCCTAGGACTGGATGCAGAAATCATAGGGAGATGGCTAGATTTCAGGCAGAGGCTGACATCCTGGTGGCCTGTCACTAAGGGACCAATCACCCCGCACCCCATACCCCAGAGCTTTCAGCAAGTTGTCATCACAAGCAGCTCAGTGGAACCCAGAGAAGATGCACCGAGATAACTGCTGCCATCCTCTCCCTTCTAGGGAACAGCGTGCTGAGTTCATGAGAGGTTTGAAACTGGATGTGGTGGTGAATGCCCGTGTTCCTAGCCACTATGGAGGTAGAGACAGGAGGACAGAAGTCCAAGACCAGCTGGGAAAAGTTGCCAGGAAAACACATCTGAAAATCAAAGTGAAAGCAAAAAGACCAAAGGAATGGCTCAAATGAGAGCTCCTTAATTTTAGTACCTAGAACTGCCAGAGAAAGGGGGTGTGGGGAGAGAGACAGAGTGAGAGGGGGGGCGATTTATCATTTGTCTCAGGTCTTAAAGCCAGTAGAATAAGGATTAAACACAGTCTGGCCCAGAGTCTAAAATCTAAACCATATCCTATGCTGTGGAAGTTCTTAGCATATAGTAAGTGATTGCAATCCTTGACTATGCTAGACAAAGTCTAGGCTTTGTTTAGAAGATAGCTAAGTCCCAGGTTGGGGATAGAATCAGAAAGGTGGATCTTAGGCATATCATGAGGGTTCTGAGTCTAGATTGTAGTTTCCATTCTGACTTTTCTCAAAGGAAGAAGGGAGACTGAGTCATTCATGATCATGCTCCCTGAGGTATTGGGCTTTTAATAAGGAGCAAAGACTAGAGTAAAGAAATGGAAAATTTGCTTTTGGTCTCTAGGATCTTGGCCTCCAATTCAGTTAGGACAGTTTAGCACTTATTTGACACTTATTCTGTGTCAAAATTTTATTTGGGAAAAATACAGGTCATGTTGCTGAACAAGAAAGGGAGACTGAAAAATCTCCAGGCCATATGAAATGTTAAGAGCCCTTGCAGGCCTTCACATTTGTCTTCAATCTCTAAATAAAATTAACCTGCAGACACCAGGCAGAAAGGTTTTAACAGAAGCTTGTGTGTGTGTGTGTGTGTGTGTGTGTGTGTGTGTGTGTGTGTGTGTTAGCCCAGGTTGGGGTTTGAACTAAAAGGTTCTGATCTCACTTGACATTTTATGGTTAGCATTCTACCACTTGAGCCACACCTCCTCTTCCAGCTTTTTGGTGGTTAGTTGAAGAAAAGGATGTTATAGATTCTTTCTGTCCAGGCTGGCTTCAAATGAAGATCCTCAGATCTCAACCTCCTGAGTAGTTAGCTTTATAGGCATGAGCCATCACCGCCCTGTTTAACAGCAGCTTCTGAATGCTTTGTTTTCTTTTGCTTTGATAATTTTTTTCTCACTTCTTCAGGCCAGGATTTAAAATAAACAAACAAGAATTACTACCTTAATGTCTATATTAGCAGTACTGATCCACTGCCATATCAACATAGAGGACTTAGAACATACTGCACTGAGAAGCAGGGCTTGAGTTAGGGGTACCTTTGTTAAAGGGGAATACTAATTATTTCTCCTTAGAGAAAGAAGATTAGTCTAGCAAGGGCTTGTAATAACACTGACATCCATCAATATTTAATCAGCCTTTTTCCTGTTTTATTCTTGACTTCTTCCTCCAGAGCATAAAGTGATAAAATCAATCTATGTCTTCTAAATAGAAACACACATGTAGCCTAACAGTTTAATGTCCCTGGATACTCCCCTCTAAATTATACTCCAGTGTGATCAGGTTGTATATTGTGTGAACATGAACTTGAAAACTGAACTTAGGAGGCCGAAGTCTCCTGCTGATGGAGGTGCAGAACTTTCCCCCATCCAACACCTGCTGATTATTCCATCCAGATTTCTTCTACATGATGGAAAAACAAACAAAATAATCTTTCCAGAGCTAGCCAGAGGAGGCTAGGAGTTCAAAAAGAGAGTAGCTACTCATTATTTAACCATAGCTAAGATATGGAAGCAGCCCAGATGCCCCTCAGTAGATGAGTGGATCAAGAAAATGTGGTATATATACACAATGGAATTCTATGCCTCCATCAGAAAGAATGACATTGCCCCATTTGTTAGGAAAAGGAAAGACTTGGAAAAAAATTATATTAAGTGAAGTAAGCCAGGCCCAAAGAAACATAGTCTCATGGTTTCCCTTATTTGCAATAACTAGTACATGTGTAGGACAAGTAGAAAAGGTCAAAAGCTATGTACATATGACCATATAAAATAATGTTAAGTGAAATGAACCCCAAGATAGGGACACAAATACCTTTTTTCTTTCATGCTAATGTTTCTAATGTATTTATAATGTACCATGTGATTTTTTTGTTTCTTTGTATGTTCCTCCCCCACGGTGTAACCCCTGTTTTCACTGTATTTGATGTCAGTACCCTGTATCTTGTATATAAACTTTCTAATTCGGGGAGGGGAAGGGAAAAAACAAAATGCTTAAATAAGGACACAGATTGATCCATTGTAACAATGAGATGTACAAAACAGTATGTTGAAAACTAATTACAATTTTGGTGGGTGGGGGGAAGGGGGGTAAGGGGGTAGTTGTGGAGGTAGGAGGGAAGGGATGGTAGGGGAGGCAAAAATATTCAATAGGAAATGTACTCATTACCTTGCTCATGTAACTGTAACCCCTCTGTACAGTATGTTTACAATAAAAATGTATGAAAAAAGAGAGTAGCTACTAAGCTACAATCTTTCTACAGCTGAAATTTTTTTCCAATTTCATAAAATGTACTTTGGGAATTAAAGATTGATAAAGAATTTTCAGAAAGTGATCAGAAACTACCTGTTTTCCGAATGGTTAGGATTATTAGCACAAATCCACGCGTCAAGAAATTCCTTTTTCTGGAAATCAGTAGGATACGGTAAGACTCTCCACTTAAGGCAAAGATCTGATTATCAAAACAAAAGCACACAAGAGACCACAATCAGAAATGGATGCCACAATATATGATGCCCATTTTCAGGCACCAAAATGAGTGAATCCTTTGTCATATAAACACAATAAAGCACAACTCCTCAAGTCACTCTAGGGTCCCACTAAGAGTTGTTTTTATTATCATTATTATTATCCTCATCTTTAATTTTATTATTGCTTCAGTTGGTTACTTTTATATATATATGTGTGTATATATGTTTTTATTGTAAACATATTGTACAGAGGAATTACAGTTACATGAATAAGGTGATGAGTACATTTCCTATCAAGCATTGTTACCTCCTCCTTTGTTTTTTTCCCCTACCATCCCTTCCCTCCCCACCTCCACAACTCCACCCCCCCCCAAGTTGTAAAGTTCATTTTTAACATAGTGTCATTGGGGCGCCAGTGGTTCACACCTGTAATCCTAGCTACTGAGGAGGCTGAGATCTGAGGATCACGCTTCAAAGACAGGCTGGGCAGGAAAGTCCCTGAGACTCTCATCTCCAATAAACCACTAGAAAACTGGAAGTGGAACTGTGGCTCAAGTGGTAGAGTGCCCACTTTGAGCTGAAGAGCTGAGAGACAGTGACCAATCTCAAAGTTCAAGCCCCACCACCCACCAAAAAAAAACAAAGCATAGTGTCTTGTACATCTCATTGTTACAATGGGTCAACCTGTATCCTTATTTAAGCATTTTTTTTTCAGTTAGTTACTTTTGGATCACAGAATCCCAACAGACTCCACTCTCTCTCTTCTTAAACCATGTAAGAATTATGGTAATCTGTCTGCTCACTTTTTGCAGCCTATTGCCCGGCCATCTCTGAGAGAATATTCTGTCTCCAATCACACAAATACCATAAAAAGGTAGAGTCAGGATCTCTGAATCTTTTTTTTGGCGGGGGGGGGGGGTCTGGTCGTGGGGCCTGAACTCTAGGCCTGGGCTCTGTCCCTCAGCTCTTCAGCTCAAGGCTAGCACTCTACCACTTGAGCCACAGAGCCACTTCTGGCTTTTTTTTCCTGCTTATGTGGTGCTGAGGAATGGAACCCAGGGCTTCATGCATGCAAGGCAAGCGCTCTACCACTGAGCCACCTTCTCAGCCCCAGGATCTCTGAATCTTGTAACACATTTGCCTTTTCTGCATGGCCCTCTGCTCTCCTCCCACTCGCTAATCTTCACTTTCTGATTTTTGTTGTTTATTTTCTCCTTATGGTCCCTCCTTGACTTTAAGCTCAAGAAATGCCACTTTCTTCAGGCTATCCAAAAATTCAGTCCTAAACTCCATTTGGACACAGTGCAGCTGGCTTTTAGTAAACAGCTGGCCTCGGTTCATCTGAATTGCTCCATCTCTAGCAACTTCTATGATCTTGAGCAAATGACTTGATTCCCCTCTGATTTAGTAAAATCATTTGTAAAAAGAGATTAATATTAGTATCTCTCTTATAATACTGAGAATGAAATTGTATAATAATAGCTAGAACTTAAAGAAACTTTCAAACTTTCAGTAAACCTCATTATTCTAAACCTATTATTTAACTAAAATTTAAAACTTTTAATGAATTTAAACCTATTAATTAATTCAAACCTATTAACTGGTTATACTCACAACAGCCCCATGATATAAGGGCAAGTATACATGTTATTTTATAAAAAGAGGGAAAAAAGGCCTTTGAGAGATGAAATAATTGTTCCTTTTCACAGCTCTTAGGCATTGGAGATCGGACTCTAACAGTGTGTGGTACACATCAAAAATATACTAATTGGCAGAGATGTTGAGCATCTCTTCATGTGTCTGTCAACCATTCGTACTTCTTCTGAGAAGTCTCTCTTTAAATCTTTATCCCATTTATTAATTGGGCTGTTGTTTCTTTGAAGGTTTATTTTTGAGGGGTTAATTTTTTGAGCTCTAAGTATATTTTAGATATGAGGCTCTTGTCTGATGCATAACTAGTAAAAGAAAATCACCCATTGTGTGCACTTTCTATTTATCTTGCTAGCTCTATTGTTTGCTGTGCATCAATTTGATGCAATCCCATTTATCAAGTCTTTGATTTATTGTGATTCTGAATCTTTACTTAGGTAGTTTTGACCTGTGCCTAGAAGCGCTAGGCTTTCCTCTACCCCTTCCTGTAATATTTTTCATGGTATCTGGTATCAATTGAGTTATCTGATCTATTTGGAATTGATTTTGGTGCAGGGTGACATATAAGTATGTAGCTTCAGTTTCCTCCATGTGTACAGCCATTTCTGCCATGGAACTCTAACATTCACAGAGTGAGACCAAAGGAGACTATTCTTAGGAAAGGATCACAAAGACTCAGTAGTTAGGTGCATATGATTATATGAAATGGTGTTTATCGAAATGAACTCAAACAAAGGGAAACAAGAGGGTTTTTGTTATTTTGCTTTTCTCTCTCTCTCTCTCCTTTGCTGCTGTTTTTTATTTCTGTACCTTTTATCTTATATGTAACTCTCTCTGTTTCAGGGGGAGTACAGAAATGGTGGGAAAAAGGGTGAACAAATGCAGCAGTGATACTGACTAGACATTATGCTGAAAATGAACCACAACTTGTTGGGGAGGAGAATCAGGAGGGAAAAACTGAGAAAACGAGGGAAGAGGTGACTGTTCAAAAAGAAATGTACTCTTTACCTGACTTATGTAACTGTAACCTCTCTGTACATCACCTTTATGTATATATATGTATATATATATACATACATACATACATACATATATATGTTAATTGTTATCCATTATGATTACAATGTGATAAGTTGTCACATACTGTCATCCATTTATTCAATATTACTTTTTACATATATAGTCATGTGTGTTCCCCTTTGATATCTTACATTAACTCAGACATTTACAATGTTCACATAGAGCTTAAATTACAACACCAATAGGTCATCAGAGTTTGACCTCTTCTTTTGCTCTGGCCGTCTACCAAATCACCCTTGACCATGCCGCCTCACTACAAGTTCCATCTAGCCAGGAGAGCTTCTCTGGAAAACTCCCAGATGAAAGCAAAGGGTCAGGCTCTCCTGGCCTGGCCTGTCTTCTCCACTGTAACATTTGTTGTGGAAAACAGATTGCCCTTAATTCCCATAGCTATTTATTTATGTAATTCACATATGGTTATTTTCCTCCTGAAAAACTTCCAATACCTCCCCACTGCTTATCAAAGTAAAAACTCATTCTAGAATTCAAAGCCCTTGAACAGGTTTACTCAATATAATAGTTTTGTCTTCCATTATTTATTCATCATGAATGCAGTTATCAATCATAAAAATCCTACTATGTCTTAGTGTTACACATGACTCATAGAAAAAAATGGTGTGTTTATTTCTCTCCAAGAAATATTTTAACTGAAGCATATACCTAATAGGCAGAAAAATCTGTGAGACTCCATATGAATGTTTCCTGTGGTAGCACATGCCAATCATTCCAGCTATAATAGAAAACCTAAAATAGGTGGATTGTGATCTAGGCATATGCCCGAACTGGACATGAGATCCTATTTTAAAATAACCACTACAGGGCTGGGAAGGTGTCTCAGTGGTACAGTGCTTGCCTTGCATGCATGAGGCCCTGGGTTTGATTCATCAGCACCATATAAGCAGAAAAAGCCAGAAGTGGTGCTGTGGCTCAAGTGGTAGAGCACTAATCTTTAGTTGAAGAGCTGTGGGACAGCACCCAGGTCCAGAGTTGTGACCCATGACTGACCAAAATAATAATAATAATAACAACAACAACAACTACTACTACTACAATAAAAGGGGGCTGGAGACATATCTTAGTAGTATAGTCTGCCTTTGCTCCTCCACTGCTTTTTTTTTTATTTTTTTACTTCTAAGACCTCATCACTTCTATTACTTCATTTACCTACTTTTCTGTCTTCAGTATTTTAACCTCTTGTACACTGTACCAACCTTGAAGGGAAGAATCATATCTTCCTCATTTCACCACTTTAAGCCACCATTTATAACACTGTCACTTGTGCATTTGAAAGTTCACTAGTATTTGCTAGTTACAATGGATTTCAGTACTCACCACACTGCATCATGAATGGAATGGCCATGGCTTGTCTCCTTTGGTATTGAATCTCTGAGGATTTCTCTAGGTCCTTATTATGTTGGTACCCAAGGTCATTCCAAAACATTGTTAGATTCCTGTTGCCTAAAGGAAAGAAAGCCAGACAATGAATAATGAAATAAAATAAAACCAACCTAGTCAAGATAATTGGCAAGGGCAAGTGTGGTTAAAAATACATATGTATTCAACATGATCTCAACTGTGTAAAAATACAGGAACAGAAGTGAGAGATGGATATATTAATGCTGGATGCACTGTAGTGATGTTATAGATGTAATATTTATTGATCTATACTCTTGATTTTTTTCAGACTACACGCAATAAATAAACTACCTTTATAATAACACTGAAAACAATAGCAGTTATAAAAGTTACAATTTTATTATTGCAATAAATCATACTGATATTTAATCTATTATGTTAAAATAATCTCTGGAAGGGTTGTGCAAATTAAACTTTAAAATTATTGGTAAGGCTGGGCTTTGTAGTTCATGCTGGTAATTTCAGATACTAAAGAGGCAGTGACAGGAAGGACCATGGCTCAAGGCCAGCCTGGAAAAAAGTTAAGAAGATTTGCATGCACCTCAATCAATAAGCTTGGTGAGGTGGCATGCACCTGGCACCCTACTTACAGGAGAAGCCATAAATGGGAGGATCATGGTCTGAGGGAAGCTCCAGGAAAATACACAAGACTCTATATGAAAAAAATAACTAAGACAAAATTGCTAGAGACATAGCTCAAGTGGTGAAACCCGCCTAGCAAATGTGAGGCACCAAGTTCAAACCCCTGTACTACAAAAAAAAAGTATAATACAAATTACCATTCTTGTTACATAACTAGAGTTTCTCTACTTTTTATTACCTCTAGTTCTGTTTTTCTCCCAGTCTATATGGCTGTTACTCTACACAAGCCCTAAATTCTACACTATATCCTTCCATTAAAATTCCTTAATGTGGGCTGGGAAGGTGGCTCAGTGGTAGAGTGCTTGCCTTGCATGCATGAGGCCCTGGGTTCAATTCCTCAGCACCACATAAGCAAAAAAGAAAAAAGTCAGAAGTGGCACTGTGGCTCAAGTGGTAGAGTGCTAGTCTTCAGCTGAAGAGCTGAGGGACAGCGCCCAGGCCCAGAGTTCAGGCCCCACGACCACACCCCCCAAAAAAATTCCTTAATGTTTCATACATAGAATATATAAATATTATTGTGATACTAACAACCATAAAATGTCTAAAAATATATTTTTAAGGAACAGCATTATCTGACATCAAGCTGGAGTGTTATAATTTTAATGTGCTGCGATCTCTACAAAAGAAAATGGCTTAGGAATGTATATGACAGGAAAAGAGAAGAAACTTAAATGTTTCCCTGAAAAAAACAAACAAACAACTAGACATAAAAGAAAACAGTAATGCAAGAAATGATGAACAAACAGCTACAAGGCACTGAGAAAGCAATCAGTAAAAGGAACAAAGTCTCACTTCATTAATTAAATGTAAATGTAATGAACTTCCCATTCAACAGACAAAGATTAGAAGAATGGATTTTAAAATGTCATCCTGGTATATGTTATTGAGATACAAATTATTTGCAAATGAGATGATGAAGAAACATATTTCTTTTGATCCAAAGAAACAAATTGATTTGAAACAATATAAAAAATATTTCTTGCAAAAGTAACCAAAAATAGAACAAAAACAACTATGCTTATATCCAATTTAAATAAAATATTTACAAGGAATAACAAAGGATACTATATATTGGTAAAATGTTCAGTATATCAAGACGATCAAATAATTATAAACTTATATGCACCTAGTAGCAGACCACTAAAATGGGAAGGGAAGGAAAGGGAACAGAGAAGAGAAGGGAGGAGAAGAAGAAGGAGTAGGGAAGGAAGAAATGAAGGGAAAGGAAGAGAGAAAGGATAAGGGCAGAGAAAACAACTCCTGAAAAATTCACAAATTTCTTCAAAATTAAACAAACAACTATTAAACAACAAATGGATCCAAGAATAAATTATGGGAAAATACTTAAAAGTCAATGAGAATAAAATCATGACATAACAAAATGTATGGACATAGCAAAAACTGTGCTTTGGCTAGAATTTATAACCAGACACTTTTTTTTTAAGCAATGGAAAAGATCTTGAAACAAATGCCTACTTTGGGATCTAGTGTGATGTCCTATGTCTGAATTTGCAGCACTTGGGAAGCTAAGGCTAGGAGGATTGGGAGTTCTAAACTGGAGTTAATAAAATAAATATTACATGTGTATTGCAAAATGCCACAGTAAAACCATTTGAACAACCAAAATACATTAAAAAAAAATGAGTGACAGGAATGCAAACTCTCTTGTCTGCCCATAGAGAAGGTGAAGGAGTGTGAATATGGTCAGAATGCTTTAGGTACACGCATGGGGATGGAACAATGAAAGATGTTGAGAATCAGGGAAGGGGAATGAAGGAAAGTGAGGAAAGGAATATTATATCTTATATATATTACATTATATTATATATAATAAATGCTATATTATAAATATATACTATATGCATGTATGTCTTAATAAAACCTCTTGTAGAATTAACTGATGCTAAATTAAAAAAAATGTAGAAAAAACAATAATTAAATTTTAAGCCCTCACTTTACATTTAAGGATGTAGAAAAATAAAGGAAAAAGAAAACTTCAAACATAAACCTAACAGAAGAAATGAAGATCAGTAGAGAAACAGATGAAATCAAAAATTGGTGAGAAAAAAATCAATGAAATCAAGCCTGTTCTTTTAAAAAGATAAAATTGGTAAACTTATGCTAAAAGGACTAAGGAAAAAAAGAGATTCAGGTTCCTAAAATTAGAAATAATACTGACTACCAATTCTACAGAAACACAGAGGACATCCAGATAGACATATGAGCAATGATACCCCAATAAATTAAATGAATTAAATGAAGTGATCAAATTCAAAGAAATACAAATCCTGCCAAGATTAAACCATAAAGAAACAGAAAATCTGAGTAGACAATTAACTAATAAAGAAACCGAATCAGTATCAACAATGTCAACAAAGAAATGTCTTGGTAATCATGATTCTACCAATGAATATTACCAAATATTAAAATAAAAAAAAGAACTGTCTGTGATGTGATCATCTCATTTCTAGGAATCTATCCAAAGAAAATTAAGTCAGTATGATTTCATCAGCACTTCCACATTCATTGAAGACTATTCATAACAGCTATGATATGAAATCAACCCAAATGTTCACTAACAGGGGAACAAGTTGAAGAAGTAGAGTGAATACACACAGTGGAACACTCCCTGATCTTAAAAAGAAGGAAGATCTGTTATTTGCAGCTTCGTACACGTCCCTGGAGGATATTAAATGAATAGGCCAAGCACAGAAAGAAAAATATTGCAGCATTGTAGAACCTTAAGACATCTGAGCTCACAGAAGCAGGAAGCTCAACGATGCTTACAAGAAACAGGGACCGGAGCTAAGGTGAGAAGATGCTGGTCAAAAGAGGAAGCAAATCTTCAGTTATATATCAGGTGCATAGTTGAGATATCTACTATATGTTGTGGTTAATAACAAGGTATTTGAAAATTGCCTAAAAAGAAAGAGAAAGCAGAGTCTTGAAGAAATGGCTGTATATAGTAAATTCACAGCAGTATGGAAGAAATTCAAATATTTGTCTGCAGATAAACAGTAAAAATGGCAGGCATGGAAAATCATTATTCAACCTTAAAAAGGAAGGAAATTCTGATATATACTATAATATATATATGCACCTTGAAAGTAGTAAGTGAAATAGACTAGTACCCAAAAGACAAATATTACACAATTGAACTTGTATGCGATTTGATTCAAAATCACAGAGATAGAAAGGAATAGACAGAGGGTGAGTTCGGAGGAAACAAGTTGTTTCATGAGTTTAGAATGGCAGTTTTACAAAATGAGGAGTTTACAAAATGAGGAGTATTCTAGAAATGCACGGCAGAGATAGTTAAATAATAGTGTGGTGTACTAAATATTTTTGACCTATATATGGTAAATTTATCCATGTCCATTACCCCACTGTACACAGGGATGGATCTGATACAGACTCACAGAGACATAGTGGTTGATGTATTGTGTCTTTCCTTCCCCGTGCAAACCATGACTTTCCATGGGAAAATATGTGCCAGCGTAGCTTCAACATGGAGCTGAGCATCCTGTACCTAACAAGCACCGAAAATGTTGCCACTATAATTCCTGACAGAATACCTCACTAATGTGTTGTTTGCACTCAAATGAAGGTGAAATAATGTCTCCCCCAGAAAACATTAACTAAAACAGTTAATACAGCACAGCTAACTTACCAGATGAATGAATTTCCACTGTGATCCCCAACACAGACATTTATTTAGGAGTGGGAAAACTAGTAGGCTGTTAAAAACACAAGCACATGTTCCTCAAGGCAGCCCTGTGATCACACCACACTTAAATACTTATACATTATACACATTATGCACATTATGCCTTAATTCACATTCTGCCTGCTATTCCCTCTGGATGGTGAAATCCTTGAAGACAGTAACAGCAAATGGGATCCTATTTCAGTAGCGGATACACAATGCTTCTTTTTTTTCTTTTTTTTTTGGGGGGGGGGTTGGGGGGTCTTATAGGACTAAATAGTACTAAAGAATTCCTGATTACTAAAAGCCAAAATGGAAAACTTACTAGCCCAAACATTTAAAGACCAGGTTTAATAAAAATTAAACTTGCTTAAAATAATAGTAACAATATACAAGGTGATATAAGGGCAAAAAAAATCAAATAAAAGATTTTGAGAGATGTATTCTTGCTAACATCCAGTGTAATACTGACTCCCTTCCTTCAGCCAGAAGCGGTTCCAACATACACAATTTGCACTTGTAGTTGTCATGGTATGAAAACAGAATTTCCACAGAGTGGACTCTGGAGACCAGGAAGTGTTCCAGCAGCCTGGTAAACGCAGCATCTGGAAGGAGGGCTTCAGTTTCTATTTTCTTATAGGTGTCAGTCTTTAAAAGACTTATACAACTACTTGTTATACATGAGTTCCAAAAC